CTTCCTCAGCTTGTCTTTCTCTCCTCTCCCCTATCTGGTCGCCGCCCCTCCCTGAGCCTGGTTCTGCTGGAGGTTTCTTCCTGTTAAAAGGGAGTTCTTCCTTCACACAATTGCCAAAGCACTTGCTCATTAGGGGGTCATCATCGTTGTTGGAATTTTCTTTGATTTGTCTGTATTATTGATCGTGCTTTACAGAACAAAGCACCTTGAGCCAACTGTTGTTATGATTTGGTGCTATATGAATAAAATTGAATTGGATTGACCTAAAATACATGTTGCAGTTATGTTCCTGCAGTTGAAAAGAGCTGATAATGACTAGACTTGGATAAGCACTTTGATTCTTAGAAGTGGCCCTGACAGTTTATTGTACTTTTAAATAAGGAGAAACAGGGTTTGTAGCCTCCTGCTCAGTGGGAATAAAACTGTCTCCCTGTTGTGCAGGATGGACGGTTGAGACCGGGAGATCAGCTCATTGCTATTAACAAGGAGTCCTTGATTGGTGTGACACATGAAGAGGCCAAAAGCATGCTAAACAAAGTGAAATTCAGGTGAGTGGTGTTCATGTTGTGTACATGTACCAAAGTCTAGTGTGGAACAATGAGCCAGTGTATACACAGTGCTACAGTATAAGCAGTTTAGTGTTCTGTGTGTTTTTGGACATGATTTCTTTGTTATTTTTACTGTTTTCCAACACATATTAAGTTAGAGTCAGACAATGAATGTTTTCACAGTTTCAGTTTCAAGATATACCTAACAAAAGTACTGCAGTACCCACTGAAACTTATTCCTATACACAGGGTTGGACAGCTGACAGATGCAGGCAGGATAGATTTTTCAAAGCTTCCTCATAAAAAAATAAGATCCAAGGTCTGGAACTGACTCCAAGTGTGACACCTGCAGTTGGAAACACAGAGCATAAAGTCAAAAGAGATCTCAGTACAATAGAATAGAATAGAATAGAATAGAATAGAATAGAATAGCCCTTTATTGTCATTGTACATATACAATGAAATTATGGGGAACCAGGCAGACAGTGAGAGCACATGATTCAGGATTTTGGCACATTCTGTGAAAAACACAAAAAGTCATTTGTGAGATTGACATTATATGATGAAATCCCTCCCCTTACATGGAAATCCATGTAAAAGGCTTTTTGTGCAAGAGTGGTGGCTTTTTCCATCAAGCAGCTAGATAACAGCAAGGCCAGATTAGACTTAAGAAAAAGTCTCACGGTTTTAGACACATTGTAAAGAGGATGGTGGATACTATGACGAGTATAAGTGTAAAACATTGTCTGTAAAAGACATAAAGCAGTGTGATGGCATGGATATACACTCTCCAGTTCACTGGGTTACATGTAGATCATTGAAATCAGTTCAAACTGAGAAAAGCTCATATCACTCTCTGAGGATTAACAGTTTTTCTTGTAACTGTTTAAGCTAATAACTTATACTTAAATAAATAAACCTTCATACTGTGGAAACATTATCTTCTACAGCATCTTCGATCCTGGGTTGGAAAAACCAACCTGATTTAAGCTTTGTTAAATGATCTTTACTCAGACCCACCTGTAAATACAGCGTCAAAGCTGATACGACACTTTAGGCCCAAAGTTGAATGTGTTTTTGTAAATGGGTAAACAAAATGTCCCACATATATATATATATATATATATATAT